CATTGCCTTAGAAGGATTCAAGGATAACACCTTTTTAAAAACAGACGGTTCCAGTACTTTCAAGGGACACTCTTCCGCTGTAGGACGAGGGAAACTGTACGCTGCCAAGGGTTCAAAGACGTTCATCGGAGCCAGGAAAGCTTTATTGATCGTGTTAGCGATGTCTTGCAAGGTAGGGGGTGTTAATTGGCCACAATCAATGTGTTGGCACAGTGCAGCAGGGTCCAGGCAACCTGATACGCTAGACATACCGCTAAGTTTTTTAACTTCTCGCCACACGGTACCTGGCTTGGACTCCTTGAGTTGCTCAACAGTAGACTCATAAAATCTGGCACGACACAGTTTCCGTTCCCTATTTACACGGTTTCTCAAAACGCGGCATTGATCTAAATCTCCCTCAGCAAGAGCTCTCTGTCGTTTTGGAATGAGCTGCTTTAATTTGCTGTTCATCTAAGGAGGCTCATTAGAAAGGATAGTCTAAGCCTTCCAAGGGGCGAGAATGTCCATGCCGGTCTTAACAATCGTCTCAAGCATTTCAACTTTCTCTTCGCATGTATTCTCACTGGCAAGCAGAGTGTTAACATCCACCTCTTCAAGGTATGTGCCCATAGCTAGGCGATTGGAGGTACACAAATCTCTAAACGTAACACTGATCTTTGCGTTGGGTTGCTTGAAACGTTCCAAAGGCTGCAGCTCAATCGAGAAGTGGTCAGACAGTCCAACAGAAGGGCGTTGAATAGGTGAATCATAATAGTCGCTTAAATTGGTAAAAACAGGATCTAGCATGTTAGTACCACGAGTTGGAAAATTCACGAGCTGTTTTAGTTTAAAACCATTGCTGAGTCGAGAAGATTTCTTCACTAGGGTTTTATTGAAATCGCCGAGCAGTATCGTACCACAACCGGGGAAACGAGCTTCGATTATCGATAAACAGTTGTACAAATAATCGAATATAGGTCCATCGGCTGCGTTTGGAGAATGGTAAGCCAAACCAACAATAATACAAGTTATGCCCCTGGGAAGACGCAAGGGACGCAACTGAGTCCATATAGTCTCAAAATTCTCATCCGCCATGTCGTCGAGGATCTTGAAGCGAACAGATTCCTTGACGTAAAGGCATATTCCTCCATGTTCGGCCTCTGTTCGATCCTGACGGATAATGTTATAGCCCGAGATTGCGAGGCTGTTATTATCGATGTGATATTTGACCCATGACTCTGTAATACATACAAGATCAAATTTTGCATTATAGACGATTTCGCGGATCTCGTCGATTTTAGGGGCCAGTGACATGACATTTGAGAGTAACAATGATGGTACGAACAAGCTGGATGACCCTGAAGGCTTGTCTCTCAGTGTTGCAGTTTTCTGATTTTCGCTATTGCATAAATAGCGCTCTCTACTGCGAGGATTGTGTATCATACGTGGCTGTTGATGTGTTAGGGCCTTTCCCACCTTCTAACAAAGGAAATAGGTACGGTGTCGTTTTTAGTGATTATCTTACTCGATGGTCCGAAGCATTTCCTGTTCCGAGCGTTGAAGCAGCGGTAATTTCTCGTCTATTAGTGAATGAGATCATTGCCAGACATGGTGCACCTAGAGTTTTGACAGAGGAAAACATATCTTGTCTAAAGTAGTCACAGATGTTTGTAAGATCTTCCATATTCTCAAAGTTAATACTTCTAGTTACCACCCGCAAACTGTTGGCTTAGTTGAAAGATTTAACTCTACTTTATGTCAGTCACTTTCAATGTATTTTGCAAAGAATCAAAAGGATTGGGATGATTTTATACCGCTAGTTTTGTTCGCCCATAGAAAATCAGTTTTAGAAGCCATTGGCGTTTCCCCTTTTTGCGTACTGTATGGCCGGGAGCCCTGCTTGCCTGTGGATGTCGAGTATTTACCGCTAGTCGATGACCACGTGACTGCTTCAGTTTTTGAACACCGTAAATGGATCGTTGAGAACATTGAATTAGCGCAAAGTTTGGCTAGAGAAAATTTGCAGCGTGCTCAGGGAAAAATGAGGGATTATTATGATCACAATGTTAAAGAACCAGCGTTCGAAGTTGGTCAACGTCTTTGGGTTTATACTCCTCGAACTAAAAAGGGTTTATCTAGGAAACTTTTACAAAAACCCCCAACAGAGGTAACCCGTGCGCAGAACGTCCACCTTTCTCTGTATAAAGCACAAGCTGATACGAAGGGTTTCTTGCTTCTTCCTCAAGACAGATGTTTCTTCCTCGAACTTGACATCGATGATGATTACAATCTTCACCCGTTTCTCGCTTGAGTACACCTTTCGCGTATTACACTTATGCTTCTATGACTCCGTTCCTTTTGTCTGTAATCTCTGGCTCGTATCGTTCCGGACCCAGTTGTTCAAAGAGCGGATAACACTATCCAGCTGATAAGTGTTACCAAGACGTACTGGGCTATCCACTAGATAGAGATTTATCTACTAGATAGCGTTATCCGACCTTCGAACAACTGGGATCTGATCTATAACTTTCACGATCCAGTATGCATAAGGATTTCGAATGAATCATTCGAAGTAACTGATCTTCGTCCGCGTATTGATTGACAGGAAACCACATGTTTTACGTTCTTTGCTTCCATTGTTGTGTGTGAATCTTGAAAATACGCGCGGAAATTTCTAAGATAAGAAATTTCTAAGACCGCCCTTTTGACGACATTCCAAGCTTATGGACCTTTTCATAGATTGTGTGACGTAGGCCTGTCACTCATTTTCACTCATTTTCTCATTTTAACCTGAGTATAAATAGTTATGACATGTGTCAATCAATGATAGAGCAATGAAAATGTGGCAATGGGTGTATAAAAACGGTAGTAGTAGTAGCGTAAAAGAAAAACTGAAGAAAACATGTCTAAAAAGGAGACCTATGCGTCTGTCACTGCAGAGGCTATTCTGAATTCTCCAGAGGGGTATTTTTATTTAAATGGTCCGAAGTTAA